AGGTGCGTTTCTATCAGTCTTCCTACCATTATGACCAAGTTGCGAAAACAAGGTCAAACAACTTCTAATCTAACACGTTGGACGAGTGTGAGTAAAGTTAGAACAATCCCTCAGCAAACCGGTTAAATCGCATTCTTTTGGATGGCGGCTCAACACCCTCTATCTCCTTCAATCTATTAATCAAGCCTAAGTAGTTCCTACTCAACTACCTACCACCGTAAGTCATATTCAAAGTATTCGCAACTTGACTTACATGCTTACAAGCTAATATATCATTATCTCAAACATACTTGCTTAATAACTTACACAATCTGAGTCAGGGCTTTCTCTTCGGTCATCAGGCCTGACATTAGCCTTTTGATAAGTCTGATTTAGAATCGGTATTGCGTATAGTAAAAGTAGCAGGATCAGTATGAAAGATAATTAGCCAAACCACTCTATATGTATATAGGTTTGTTATTTTATTTTGGCTTAATTTAGTTTATATAAGAGGTAAGATAGAGCCGGATAGTCTTCTTGCCTTAGTATATACGTAATACTTTTACAGGAATGAGACCCAGCTCTGATGATGCCCATTATATGATGGAAGAAAGCTCAGCCCATTTTCACCCGAAATGACTAAGGTCTCATGGACTGCGTCAACCTAAACGTCGTATAAAAGCAAAGCGGCTGCAGTACAACGGGATTCATCCGTCCTCTTCTGATGAAATCGACCTACGAAGCTCTGCTCTGTGCACTTTCAAATGAAAGTAAAGTCCCCTCAACAATATGTTTCTATTCGCAAGCGCCGCATGCTATGCAAAAAATAAGTGAACAATCCTATTTTCCACCCTCCCATGTTGCATCGGTAGACCTGTGAAGTGTTGTTTTTTTCTTCGTGGTCACCTAAATATTCTATTTCCTTAGTATTGGCCGTGGTTTTTGACTTATTTCACAGGAAGGTAGGCATATCCACTTTTGTCAATCCTCCGTTCTTACTGTTCTTTCATAGTCTTCGTTCTGCCATCGGCTTTTCACGGTTCTTATGTTTCTTTGTGTTACTGCTCTCGAGTATCCGTTGCCGACGCATATCCGAGTCCACTTTTCCAATCCTTCATCCCAGAATTCCACATCCTCATTATTCCTATATTTAGCCTGTAGTTGTGATGGGGTTAGAAAGTAAGTATTATTCCGGCAAAGGACTTCTTTTTGAACAATTTATTCTTGAATGTTTCATTAGAGCGACGCAATTTAACATCCAGAAAAGGAAACCGCTCACCTTTTTCTACTTCCATCGTAAATTTGACTTTTTTCACGAATCTGGTTTATAAAAGTGGATTGACCTAGTTGTCGCAACTTGGTCTTGTTGTCAGAGCAACTTAGTAGAAGGCACCTAGACTGAAGTCGTATGTTATAGTAATTGTCATGACTCCCAGCATCAGACAGTGGACTTTGCACATTCTCAAACGTTTCACCGGCATCGTAGTCGGCATCATCAGTCAGTTTTGCCATTCTCCGCACGAACTCGTCAAAGAGACAAGTGAAGTTAATCCCTCGACAAACGCTCTGCCGAAAACAGTTACACTATAACTCTTTTTGTCGTGGCCTATCTATCTACTATTTACCCTCTTATCCCACTGCCGCCCTATCACAACTTCTAACTTGTTCAAATTCCACTCGTTAAAATGCGTGCCCAATTGTGGCAAATCTAGTGTAGCTTCATCACACTTGCTATTCACCCCGAGCCCCTCTCTTTCGATCAGCTGATTCGACTCGGGCTTCCAGTCTGGATCCCCTCATTGTCTCGTAGATTCGTTCCTTATCTTTCTGGCTGACCGATTTCACTCGGTTACAGTCCCAGTCTGATGCTGGGAATCATAAAAATTACTATGGCAGACGACTTTGGACTAGATGCCTTCGACTAAGTCGCCCTGACAACAAGACTAAGTTGCGAAAACGAGGTCAACTCGCTTCTATAATAAATGCAAACCTAGAAGATACTTAGCTCTAATTATTATTACATTTTAATATTTTTTCTCAGCACATAAATAAATAAAATTTCTCACTCCATAGTAGCTGGGAAGCGGCCGACCCGAATCTCCTTCGATTATCCATTGGCCGCATGCTCCCAGGTAGTTGGGAAAAGGCCAGCCGTTCTGTGAAGAAAAGGTCTGAGTCACAACACTGTGCGGATTGATGGCAAGACTATATAGCAGGATCAGTTCGTCAAAACGAAGCCATCGTGTCTCAGCACTTGGACTGGTGCGTTCTCGAAATCTAAAGTGGAATGATGATACAACAGAAAAGGCAGTTACGGCAGGGCTAAACTTAATCATATAACCTCTCCTCT